GATAAAAGTAGTCTTTGAGTCCTTCCCGAAGAGCCTCTCCCCCACATCTAAGAGAGACAAGGCCTGAATGCAAAGTATCTCAAGCATTTTCAGGAGAGGCACTCTCAAAGCAGCTACTGAGACCCCCCTGTTAGAATGGAAACAATAACACTCAGACATCACAGAGCCCTGACAGGCAGACTGCCTGGGGGGTGAGAGACAAAGCAGGAGTGGAAACAATCTCTTGTAATTCTCCAAACTTAAAAAAGAAAGACAGAAGAACTCGGGCCTGAGAAACCTCAATAATTTCAAAGTGCGATGGAGAAACACAATCCCCAGGATGGCAGGCTTTAAATTAACAGTCACAGAATGAATCTGTCTCTGCTCAGGGGATCTTTGAATGTGGCACAGAAGGTAAACAACATGCCCAGTGCAGTCGACATTCAGAAACCCATCAATCCTGAGTATAGGTACCTAGCCAGTACTGCTATTTTATAATTTTAAATCAAACACAGAATAAGAACACTAATGGAAAAAAACCTAAAAAGCATAGCTGCACAGCTAATTATTGCTGGCTGCAGCTGTGACAAGCAGGCTGTGAGACAATAGTTCTCTTTTAATTCAATAGTCAGAGCACCAAGGCTGAAATATTCTTAAATTTGAAAAGTATCAGCAATCAAACACCACCTGCTGCTCTCACATTGTGTCCCCATGTGTGCTAAGCACACACAAGGGCTGTCACTTTGAATTACTAGAACATCTCTATACACAAAGTACTGACCAAGCAAAAGTGGTGTCAGGTCCCTGTGTTTCAGAAACCACCAGGCATATTTTCCAGAAGTAGTTACACCAAACTCTGAAGGCTTCTTCACACTTTCTCTGCTGTTTCATGTACAAATGCAAACATCAATTCTGCCTTCTGTATGTACATACAAAAATTATTCAAGTGGCCTGATCAGTATCAGTCACATAAAATCTGTACCACAAATTTCAAAGGTATTTGACTAATGTAAATTCTTAGCATCTTCTCATAAGAATAAGTTTAGCTTCAAAGATGCAGCCTGCTTCACTTTCTAGAGGTTAAAGTCAGGGGTTCTATTCACTGCATGTAGGGGTCTGCACAAACACAGACACAGCCCACTCCAAAAGCTCATGTTCTGCAGAACCCAAATCCAAATAACATCCTTTCTCCTTTTATGCAGCACACATCTCTGTTTTTAATTTCAGTGAAAACTGAATTTGTACAACTGTTCTCCAGTTTTTGTAGAATGGAGAATAAAAGTTAATATTTATTTTTGTTTGAAAGTGGTCAAGTAGGAAGCAGGAAGGCAGAAGAATATCCTGCAGCAAGCAAAATCTTATCTTGGGATTCACTGGATGTATTGGTATTTTTGGAGGAAGACAGCCATATCAGACAAGTGACACAGCAAGTACTACTCCCTTTCAGCTAACCACATCTTTGAATGCTTTGAAGGGAAAAGATGGTAAATGCAGACATTAGCCTTCTATCACTTGGTGCTGACCTGGCGGTTTCTGCAGCAGAGGTTGTGAAGCCCCAGCCTGAGCTTTCAAACACGGAGTACATAAATCTGTAAGTATGATCTGACCTCTCTGCTGAAAGCAGAGGCCTTTCTGCTCCCTAATGAGCTAGTTATTTCTGGAAAGGAGTGGCCTGCTGATACCAGAGTCTACATCTTAAGTTCATAAGTCAGAGAAATCACAATGCACTGATGGGTTCAATGGAAATGCCTTCTCCTCTACAGTACTGGGGAAACCTTTGCTGGCTCCATATTTCATACCTTAGATCTCTTTTCCTAATAAACTGACCCCTTGGTGGCAGAAAAAACCTCTTGGTATGTGACAGAAGTTCAAAATTCAAATAATGTAACTTTATGCTGCTTTCTGTTTCTAATTATAGATAAAACAGAACAGAACCTGCAGAATAACTGCAAAGTATTGGAAATGCAATCTTCATTAATGTACAAAAGTTGTATCAGGTCAAGACACACACTTTTAAGAAAGTACTTGATGGATGAGAATTAATGTCCACAATAAGCCTACCCCAGAAGGGGGGTAGGTTTGAGCTGAATTTCTAAGTACAGGAAAAATACCAGTAGGAAGTATCTTCAGACCTTTTCCAAGGATAAGAAAACTAGCTGGATCAGATGTACTTCTGCAAGTCACTGCATTGTAATGACCAGGCATATACTTGCCAAACTTTATAAAAACTAAGCTTATCCAGTGGGATCCAATATCTTTTCAAATGCTACTTGAATTTAAGTCTCTCAGACCTGAAAGTAAAGACATCACTAACAAAAAAAGACTTTGAAAGCTAAGATGTGTACCACAAGAGTACATAGTAAATATAAATGCAAACTTTTTTGTAAAAAATCTGTCTAATCTTCTCCCAATCTCCCCTGAAGCTAGCAATCACCACTCAGAATTACTCTGGTTAAACCAGAGAAGTAAGTTGAGAGATTTCTTTTTCTACTGAATTAAGGATCTGATCCCTTGAACTGGAAGTTGTCTGTCAGCAACCACAGGTGTTACCAGCCCTGGGAGGTGCAGGACAGGCATCCAAACAGGCCACTGCACAGCCAGCATGCCCTTTTCATGTTATTTTTCACTGCTAAGGACCATATGCAGTACACAGGGTCATTGTGGGAGGTTTATTTTTTATTGACTTATCTTTCTCAGAAGGTATTCTTTGGCAAGGATGTGGATATTTTTGGTAAATAAGGAGTGTATTATAAAACAGAAAAGCAGTATCCAGGCATCTCTTGGGTACTCCCGTTTGCTATTCCAAATCTCAGCACAAGCTTTAATGCAAGGGGGGAAAAAGATTTATCCTTTCTCACAAGGGGAAAAAAAAAAAGAAATTATATCAGCAAAAAGAAATTATTTTAATAGGCTTATTCTGGTACAAACTGCAAAATCCCAGACCATCTGATAAAAGCAAGCAGACTCTACCAAAGAATAACAGGAGAGTAAGAATCCGAAAGAGCTTCCCTCCCTCATCTTTTATAGATCTTGCTTTGTCTCTGGGAAAGCTGGGTCAGACTCCAACAACAGGGCACTGAGGTCACTATAGCCTCTCAATTACCTATTTTTTTTCTCTTTCCTCTCACCCCTCCCAACCAATTCACTTTCTTTAAACTGATTTGACCAGCTGACAAACACAGATGTGTCAGAAGGCAGCCAGGAGTGTGCAGGAAAAGAGTAAAAACCTCACAAATCAATCATCTGTGGCCACAGGACACAAGTCAGGCAAAAGCTATATTCAATATTTTACACTTGAAATGTATTTATTCTTTAAAATTAAATTTGAAATCTTTTTAACTTCCTGTCCTAGAAACTTAGACAAGCTGCAGTGTAAGAAAGCAGACTAAGGCTGGTACTTGAAATTTGGCTATTTGAGGTTGCAGACACAGAGGATTTTGTTAAAATCTGCCACATATATATATACACATATATACTTAGCCTTTTTATATTGATGATGCTTCTTTACTTCTCTGACTCCTTGGCAATGAGTATGCTGGCTATTGTTCATAACCACATAGCCCCTCCTCCACTGTCTTTCACCTTGGCCCTTGACTTCTCTTTTGCTTCTTTGAAAGGACTGAGCAAGAAGGGACAAAGACAAAACTTCTCTGCATTTAGAAACCCCATGCAGTTTCTGCAATTTCATCCTTTCCGTGTCTCTTTTATTGTTCTGAATCCAGATATTGGTGACTCTGCTCATTTGCACACCGGTGGCTCCTTTGTACCTGTCACACTGCCTGCCTGGCTTTTACCAGGGTGTGACCCCCGTAGGAACCTTCCCCATGCAGATCCCACCCACACCTTGATCAAGTGACCTTGGAAGCCCCTTAAAAGGATATGAGACGAGGCAAGAAGAAGTAATCCTGAAGACACAGTCCTGACCTTAACAAGTGACACAAGGTGTGAGAGAATGTCTTTGCATAACCACCTGTGCTCAGAGGACACAAAGCACAGAAAAGCCCTGCTCTTTCCAACAAATTGTGCTTGTTTGAATGAGAAACAGCCAGGACTGTAGAACTGAGCACTAAAATGTGAGCTACCTTCCATGTACTACATATCAGAGGGGAAAATTTCAACAGAAGAGGGGATTTGCAGACCCTCTCTGCCTCATTCACCCTACCTTCTTCTTTCTATGATACTTTGCACTCTCTAGTTCTTGATTTTGGGCTAAGAAGGATAAATTTACAGAATTTGCAGAACAGTCTGAGTTGGAAGGGACCCAGAAGGATCATTGAGGCCAGCTAATAAGTGGATGGCCCATATGGTGATTGAACCTATGGCCTTGGCATTATTAGCACTGTCCTCTCACTAACTGAGTTAATATCAGATTATCCTGTCAAGATAGGGAAAACACAAAAATTGGAGGAAAAGCTCATGGAGTACAAGAAAAAGATCTAATTTTACTCTCATATATTATCTCTCACTCCTCTCCCATTCTGCTCCATCCTTCTACCACTTAGGTATTTCCTTCCCTTTCCCTTTCCCTCTCCCTTTCCCTTTCCCTCTCCCTTTCCCTTTCCCTTTCCCTTTCCCTCTCTCC